AAAAATGTAAAAAAAAATCGAACTTTTCTGATAAATTTACTATAATTAGTAATTATAAAATTTCCTGACTGCATATTAATTTTTACAATTTAATTTTTTCTATTTAATAATGTCAATTTCAAATTTGCAAGTTGAGCTAAAAGTTATGGTAATAAATTAATTTTTTTTTTTTTTATTATAAATTTTGACTTTAAAAAACGAAATATAGAAGGTTAAAAATTATTACTTTTAACATATTAACAATCAAATCAATATCAATAATAACTTGAAAACAATTCAATATAACAATTATATAATATATAATTTTATATTATATTTTTGAATCAAAGAATTACTAATTTGAATATAATTAAGGAAATAGTTTATGTTGCTTTTGTAATTATCCACCAATTTCTTAGAATTAAACATTATCTACAGATTTGCATCAAAGCGTTTTTTATGATAGTGATTTTAATCACTATTAATCAAAAATAACTATTAACTAAATTATTTTATTATGTATAATGAAACAAGAAAATCATTGTATATTATTACTTAATTTTGAAACACAGTCATCAAAAATATCTTTAAAATTATTGGCCCAGTCATCACTTTCAAAACTTACTGCCAATATTTCTTTTTGTGCTACTTTATTATTATTATCAGAAGTATTTATACAACTCCAGCAAAATACTTTATTAGGTATCATCACAGGAATCAACATCATGTCTGATGTTATCAAATGGTTACAAACAGCTTCAGATACCTGTCGATATAAAAGATACATTGATATTTCATGAATGAAATTTTATTGAGTATATAAAATACAATAAAATTATTATCTAAAGAAGATTCAATATAAAAATCTTCATTAATAAGTGTAAAAAATTATAGGTGTATTAAATGATTTTTTAACTTGAAAAAACTGTATATATTTTATAAATTGATATTTAATACAAGATATTTGGATTTAGCATACTGAATGTTTAACAACTAGTACTTATATGTTAAATTAAGCTTTGCCTAGCTGGGGTTTACTGTGATTTTAATCACTGTCAGGTTAAATCTATAATGGACCCAACTATCCCATGATCCTACTGTGCCGCGGCTCCACTGTGCTTAAATTCACTTATTAAAAAAACAAACACCCAGACAGTGTTTTGTTTAAAATTATATTAATATATATATATTATATATGATTGCCCCAGAGCGCTAATGACTATTAGCACAGCAATTTATACAACTAGTGTATATTTTTATAAGTTACGATTAGATTTGGGTTACAGTTTAAGGGCTCTCGGGATACAATTTGTATAAAAAATTTAGTTTAACCTAACCCCGCGATATAAATAGTATGTCTCGGGATCGAATAACCTCAATTTTCATTAAGAATTATTATTTTCATCAATATTAGCCGTATGTAAAAATGATTTTTTAGATAAAGAAGTAGTAATTATTTAGTTTTTATATTTTAAATAGCATTTATTAAAATTGAAAATTTTCTAGGGGATTGTTTTCAGTTTCGCTTATACGTCATAACAAAATCAACATTTTTTAGGAAAAAATGACAATAATTTAGGTTATTACCTCAAGCAACATCGGCGTAGCCAGGATTTCTTAATAGAAATTGTAGCGACCAAAACATACGCAACGAATATTCTCGAATGTTCTCGTTATCAAAAACCTTCGAGAAACTTCGATAACGCCATAAGATAACCTACGCGGGTATAGAATATTCTAGAATTAGCGAGAGCCTTATCGGAGCTATATATATATCGGAAGAATCAGTCAGTTCAGTTAGTTCAGTTCAGACTGTCTAGTCCGCGATACGCTACACGACCGCTACACTCCGCCGCTGTTGTCATCGTGTATTATGTTTACTTCGATTATTTTATTTTTCCTTACTGTATATACATATATTTTCTTTTAGTGTTTATACGTCTATTTTAGTGTTATAATTTTGTTTAATAAAAGTCTACCGCCATTTAAATAATTGTGTGTTGTAAGATATAACCCACAAAATGGACAGTCAAAAATTATCATACGAAACCATATCGAGGCTTTTTTTGTCTCGTTTTGAAGATATAAAAATTGCAGCCAATTAGCGGAGCATGGCCCTCTGACTTCCCCGACAAAGAAAACGCGAAGTGTTAAAATGAGGTACGACTACTTTTTTACTTAAGGATGATAAAGAATATTTTTTACTAAAATGCAGTTATGACCAAAAAAAAATAAAAAGATGTAGAAACATATTTTGTAAATATCGGTTTTTAATAATATTAAAAGCACTTCATAGATCCAGGAGGAAAGCGATCGATCTTATCGCCTCCCTTAAATAGGCCCCTGTTTACTGAGTATAGATTTATTTAAATATAAATTAAGTTAACTATTCTATTTTCATTTTAACAAAAATACATTTTAATATGTATTTCGGATACTATGGGACTTGAAACAAAATTTAAACTGAACATGCTAAAGTTGTTATTACCTAACCTAAGAGGTAAACAATATACCTACTTATTTCCGCAATATAAGGGTTAAAACAAACTTCCTAAACATATCCTCGTGTATGCTACTTTAAATTTGAGAGAACCAAGTTAAATAAAACTATAAATGTTTTTCAGCTGTCATTTTGATCATTTTATTTCATATTTAATATGATATTTAAATATTTAATTATTTTTTAACAATACTTTAAAGGTAAGTAATAACTATTATTATTTATAACTCTTACAACTTTTGATGTAATAATTTCGTTGTAATTTTATTTTTAATTTGAAATATTAAAACAAAATATTTTTTTTTAACTCAATAAGTACTTATCCTAATTTGTTATCGACCCATCAACATTTTTTGTAAGAAAAGCTCTAAAAATAATGCTATTTTGAAATTAAAAAAAAAACAATTTTTGTTTAAATATTTAAAATTAAAATTAAAACCATGATTTTTTTAACGTATTCAAAGAAAACAAAAATTGTTAAAAATAAAAATACAACGAAACTATTATATCCACAGTTATAAGAGTTGTTAATTAGATCTGTTCCGCCTGTTTACATATAAATAATTTCTATAAATCAAATTCTACTATTAACAAAAAAATAATATATAATAACATAAAAGACATATATATGTTACCATAGACATTTTTTCCAGAGGATTAAAATAAATCCATTGCGGCTGAGATATCAAACTATATAATTAATTGGCAGACCTTTTACAATTATATGGGCGTTCTCTAAATTTTGGTAGGATTTTATATAATTAACTGTTCAAAATAATTTTATACAAAAAAATAATTGTGACACGATCCGCCTGTTAGCCACCTGTCTCGTCTTTGACTCCGCTTGCTGATGACCACCGCAATATAATAATACACTGAATTTAACTATAAGAGAGGGTTGAAAATAATCCAAATTAATGTTAAAAACTGAATTAGACTTACTAATTGCACATTATTTCTCAATAGCATAAATCACAGCTGCAATTTAACACATTATTAGACAGTCGAATGTTTCATCTTTTCGATGACCGATATTCTAAATAAAGAGTCAAAAAGCAAAGCAAACCAATAATGGGCTACTCCACATAGGCTGTACGTATAGCTAATAGTCGCAAAAAATAATAATATCGAATCCGACGCGCAATAACATAGTCTTAACAACTACATAGTTTTTCAATCGGTCCTGGAAAAGGCTGGCAACGGTATTGTTGATAAGAAACGGACATTAGCTGCCGCGTAATACATTGTCCAGCATGAACGGTCGTCAGTGTAAATATTAGTTTGCGTTCACCCTGATAGATTTTATTTGTAATATTGTTAAATACCACTCATAGTCGACGATTACAATTAATTAAACACAAATATAACACACGAAATTAATTAACAAGTATGCGTATATTTACACCAAAACTACCGTCCAACAACCTCATGCAGGGAGCGTCGCCAAACAACTGATATAATATAATTTTTATAATAACTCATATAAACTGATCTGACAAAATAAACAACATTATCACATAGGTTTAACAATATTATATAGAATTAATTTAGAAACAATAAAAATAGCTTTGCCCCATAACTAAAATAAGCAAATACTATGATATAACAGGAGTGGCCTCCCATAAAACTCCCCCTGAATTAGAACCTGATAGGGCAAAAATCATTAAACAATTTAAAAATTATTAACACTATAGTCAACATATATAATTTAATATTAGATAAATAATATTTTAGTAGATACACAACAATTATGTTTTTATAATGTATTAAATGAGTGATCTCTTTTTCCATCAATAAATACCTTTCAGTTTTTTGCAAAATAAAAATGAATTTTATTCAATCAGTATAATATTATGGTAAACAAGAACAGCATCAAATTACAATGATTTTATTTTACAAAATTTTTAATTATTCCATCATGGCTGGTTACTAAAACTAAACTACATTGTAGTCCATGATGTTTTGAAAAATTTAACAACTTTTGAAGTACTGGTCTAAAAGTTGTTGTCGATTAGTTTTTTCCTAATTAAATCAATTTTTATTTTATAGACTATTTTTAAACATATGTTTCCATTTAAAAAATTATGTTGACACCCTTAAAACGTATAAGGGATTAATTAAAAAAATATTTAACAATTCATAAATCCAAAAATATATGAAACTAAATAATACCAAAGAGAATATTCTTAACATAATTGTTATTTTAAAAGAAATCAAGTAACTAACGTTAAAATAACCATTCTGTATAACTTAAATTAAAAATGTTAAATTCAAAGATTCACAGAGATTACTCTTAATGTTGATGTATTAATTGCAATTATAATATAGAATATTATATAAAATATATAATACAGAATACTAATTTGGTTGTGCATAGCATTTCCAATCCCCAAATTAAACAAACGTGTACTTGTTCCCCAGACAAGCACATGTCCTTACCACTAAATACGACACTATCCATCAAAATGAAAAGATAATATTTAACAATACAAAAACTTTATCAGTGCGTTCAAATAAATTTTATTATACATTTTTTATAATAGTCAATGTAATTAACAAATAATAGATATAAAACATACATAATAGAAAAGATTTAGATAAAAAATTTCTCTGTAAGATTTAAATAAAAATGTGTTTCAAGAAAATATAATGATCATTAACAAATTTTTCAAAAGATAATTGAAAAAAATATACAAATTTTAAATTGCAGTGATGACTTTTCACCAATTTAATATAATTTATGTAACAACTCGTTCTAAAAATTCATTTTACTTTAGAAGATAAAATCTAATTTTTTAAAATAACTATTAACTAAATTATTTTATTATGTATAATGAAACAAGAAAATCATTGTATATTATTACTTAATTTTGAAACACAGTCATCAAAAATATCTTTAAATTTATTGGCCCAGTCATCACTTTCAAAACTTACTGCCAATATTTCTTTTTGTGCTACTTTATTATTATTATCAGAAGTATTTATACAACTCCAGCAAAATACTTTATTAGGTATCATCACAGGAATCAACATCATGTCTGATGTTATCAAATGGTTACAAACAGCTTCAGATACCTGTCGATATAAAAGATACATTGATATTTCATGAATGAAATTTTATTGAGTATATAAAATACAATAAAATTATTATCTAAAGAAGATTCAATATAAAAATCTTCAATAATAAGTGTAAAAAATTATAGGTGTATTAAATAATTTTTTAACTTGAAAAAACTGTATATATTTTATTAATTGATATTTAATACAAGATATTTGGATTTAGCATACTGAGTGTTTAACAACTAGTACTTATATGTTAAATTAAGCTTTGCCTAGTTGGGGTTTACTGTAATTTGACATTACATACATACTATTACAACATACTAAACAGTACTGTCCTAATAATGTATGTACAAACTTATTTATATACTTAAAACCGTATTGCAATTTATATATATCGAAACACATTTTTTTTTGAAAATCAGAGTACACTAAGTAATTTTCCCAGAAAAACGTTTTTTTCTTGTTTTATTATATAATAAGTGTTATGCACAGTAATAAAACTCAATTAAGGTTTTGTTTGTGTACTATACAAAAAAGAAAGATATTCTGAAAACTTGCCTTCTATGATAATCGTTTTTGGTAATTATAATAATTTTTTTCTTTTTTAACTAAACTGCATTTAAATATGAATGAATCAAAACAAAAATTATGTTATATTTAAAACAAGTATCTTACTTTCAACATAGTTATATTTTTTATCCTATCATTTACCAAATTACTGAAGAAGAACATAATCATCATATCAATTTTTTTTCTTTTCATTTTTTTCTTTAAATATTACAAAAAAATTGATTTCTTTAATTATACATCAGATTAAAGCTAATACTAGTATATATTAAGATGAAAAAAGAATAACTATCAGAAATATCGATTTCTAGGAGTTTTTAGGCTTAATCAAATTGTTATCATAAAATGTTTGGTAAAAATGGCAAATTTTGTAGTTTTTGAATAGTAATAGATTAGCATTCTAAATCTTATTATATAATAAAACATTGAAAAATCAGCCAATGCTGGAAACATTACTTAATAATGTCCGATTTTCAAAACAATTTTTTAATAAGAGCTTTACAATTTTATTATTCCAATTTTATGTTCTCTATTAGTAATTTGTTTTTTTAAAACAAAAACAAACTTAATAAATACGACAATTTTTATTTTGTTATGTATAATACACATTGAAGCGTTTTACAACAGTTATTTAAATTAATCAATAATAGACTAATCAAATTTCTCAACTCCATTTAGAAGGATCCCCACTGAATTGAACTTTTAGCTTCGATGTGAAGCTGAGAAGGTATTGGTTTCACTAAGATGTGTTTATTTATTTATTTTTTTTTTGTGTCTATTACCACTTTTTCTCAGCTCTCACCGAACCGATTTCTTTCAATGATAAGTCAAAAGATCACAAATCGTATCTAGTCGAAGACATTACCCTCAAAAATTGAAAAAAAATCCCTCGTACCCCGTAAATATGGGAAACCTCCAAAAAAATTACAAAATTAAAAAACGCTAATTTTCGAAATTTTTTCAACTTTTTTTACTTAAAATTGTCATAACTTTTTTAAAAATGACCGATTCAATATAATTTTTTTTTTTATAGATGCACGATGTCTTTACCTATCATTTGGTATATTTTTTTTATAAATCTGACCCTTTACCTACCTACAGGGGGGAATCAAAATGACAACTTATTCACAAAAAATTTACTTTTTCAACTTATATTTTGAAAGTGTTCCGGAAAGTCTGACACTTTTATATATATCTTAAATTAAAGCTAATGTAATTTACTTTATTATGCAAAAAAAAAATTTCGGACTTTATTTTATCTTCATGGTGAAAACAGACATTAAACTTAATAAAAAAAATACGATTTTTGTAAAAAAATTCTTTTTTATATTTTTAACTTTATAATGCTATAACTTCTCGAAAGATGTATGGATCAATATAATTCTTTTTTTTGTAGATGCATGATGTCTTTACCTATCATTTGGTATATTTTTTTTATAAATCTGACTTTTTACCTGCCTACAGGGGGGGATTCAAAATGACAACTTTTTCACAAAAAATTGACTTTTTCAACTTAAATTTTGAAAGTGTTCCGGAAAGTCTGACACTTTTATATATATCTTAAATTAAAGCTAATGTAATATACTTTATCATGGAAAAAAAAAATTTCGGACTTTATTTTATCTTCAAGGTGAAAATGGCTACCAAATGCTATTATTGTGTGAAAATTCTCAATTTTATTTTTTACATTTTTAACATTATAATGCTATAACTTATTGAAAAGTGTATTGATCAATATAATTTTTTTATGGGAAATACTATTTTCTAATAATCTCTTTTTTATTCTACATACTTTGTCTTAATCAGGATATTAATAAGGAACTAGCAGTTTATGAAGCTTTTGGAATAATCCACCAATTTTTTAAAATTAAACACTATCTAAAGATTTGCATCGAAGCGTTTTTTTTTGATAGTGATTTTAATCACTGTCAGATATCATTATACTTGATCCATCTATGCCACGTCACCACTGTGCCGCGACCCCCCTGTGCGGGGTTTTTTTTATCTTAATTTTAAAATTATTTTACATAATTTATAAAATTGATTTTAATCATTTCATTTTAAATTATAAATATAAAAACGTTTTTAATAAGCATATCATCTAAATATCAAACTCACTTTTAACATAAATTATTGGAACTCATTTGAGGAGATATACAGTGTTATTTATTAAACCCAACCTAACGACGCCCCCACTTTCGTTAAATTATGATTTTTCCATATAAATATACAAATTAAAATTTTAATTTATTTTTATAAATTATAGTAAATATCAAGTTAATTGTAAAAAAAATAATTTCTAAGGACAGACTTTTTAGAGATAACTTTCAAAAGTTAAATGAAAACCTATTATTATATTTTTAATATTAAATTAAGTATCGCCTTAATAAAATTTTGTTGTTTATAACCAGTTTTGTATTATTACTCTTTGAGTTAATGTAATGTTTAGTTGTAGGGGTGCACAATATTGAAGAATTCTTCAAAAATAGAATGCCAATAAACACTACCCTGGTTCCTTACCTTTTTCTAAATTTGAAAATGATACCTCAGTTAATTCAAAAAATTGTATAGATCATCAACCGGTTAATAAGAGTATTTTAAGTACCCAAAAAGATTAATGTATACCTATTTCTTCTTGTTTAAAATATGTTGATAATAATTTATATAAACACATCAAGTTTACTATAATATATTGTTTGTAAAAAATGTGATACTTTAAAATAAAAAAAAAAACTCATTTCTACTTGTTCATCTGAGTTATAATCATAATAAAAAAGAAGATCTAACAACCCCCAACATTTTTTTAAATTTGTAATATTAAATTTAGTATTTTTAAATATTTATCTCAAAGTTAATTTAAAAATTAATATCTTGTTTTGAGTTGAATTTAAAATCTAAAAATTTACTATTAATCTGGAATCCCTAAAATAAAATTAAGAAAATATAAATAATTTTTAAATTTTTACTTTTTCTCTTTCAAAAAGAAGGCGATAAATTTTATGATCTTGATGATGGAGAATTTTAATATGACCAGTGCCTTTCTCTTTATATTCAACATTCTCTTTTTGAAAAAGTTGGGACCATCCACAAAATACTATTTAAAAAAATATTATATAGTTACTATGCTTAAAATATTATAGTACTTAAAATACTTGACATACATAATGCTTTGCTTTTATCTGAAGTAAAAGTTACATGAATCTTTGGTTTAAAGTAAAAATTATTGTTATCTATTAAATCTTGCTGTTTTTTCTCACCATTATCTTTTATTCCATCACCGTTTTCATCATAAGTAGAAACATTTTTGAAATTTGATTTACCGTTATAAAAATTAACTAATAATATATTAAATTTTTTAATTTGAATACAAAATTGGATAGAATGAAAAACAAAAAAATTTATAAAACTGTACTTTTGGATAAACATTTGTCTGATTTTTTCTCTTCCAATAAATTTTGTCCAAATATAGGTTTGAAGTCATTTAATATTTGTTGAAATGTTATCGAGTTATCAATTTTTGGACCAAATGACAATACATTTTCAGATGTTATATTGTCAGTCTTACAAAAAAAAAAACTTGCACTTTTTAATATTGGAGGTAAATTACTTTGAATAATAGATGTAGGATATTCAAACAATACATTAGTTGATTCTTTTTTATCAGTTTTAGATATATTTACATCGTCACATTTTGACAAATCTGTTTTCGTACTCATAATCTTTGTTTTTGATTCAAAAACAGGTTTATTAGATGAAGTTTTTCCTAAAAACAAACTATTAGATGGAAAAGATACCTCCGCAAGACATTCATTGTCAAATAATGAAGATTCCAAAGGAAAAATCTGTGACAAATCATCAGTTGATGTTTTGTTTATGTCAGTGATATCTATTAAAGTTTCTTCATTGACATTAGTATTTTCTTTATCCTAAATTAGAAATTCATTAATTTTTAATTTCTGTTTAATGAAACAAGTTAGATTTAAAATATTAAATCCAAATTCACCTATAAATTTTACCTTGTCATAATTAACTTTGGACATTATTTTGTTAATAACCAAATCTTCATCATTCTATAACAAAAATCATAATTAAAATAAAAATCTAAAATCAAAAGATATATATTTACATCTTTATAACAACCAATACATCCTTTGCAATCAGGTTTTAATTTATATAAAAAAAAAGACAATGGAAGTTTCATGTTTTCAGCTACAATTTGATCTTCATAAGGTATAATACCTTTTAAATCTATAACTTCAATGAACTGGATATCATCATTTTCTTTAAAAATATGCATTTATTTAATCACATAATAAGAATTAATCACTTGAGGCTAATATTATTTAGAATTAAAAATATAATTATAATATTAATTTAATACTAAAAATATTAAATATATTTAACTAAAATAAAAAATTTAACTCAAGAAATGACCAAACATATACTATACAATATAAGTTTAGCTCTGATGATGATAACATTGTTACAACATTGTACATGTCATTCTTTTTATTATTTTAGTGGTTTTTCGAGTTAAATTTTTTAAATATTTAGTCATAATAACAAATTCAAGTAAAAGGATCATAAAATTATTTTTTAATCTTCTATTTTTCCTCGCCTTAATCCCAACTACTTAGAGTCGGCCACCCTTAACCTAAACTTCCATTTGATATGATCTCCTATATCATCAGCCGTTCTCATATTGCATTCAATTACATCCCTGAACCTTTTTTTTTTGGTTTTCCTTTACCTTTTCTTCCTTCAACATCAATTTCTATAACTGTTCTTACAGCTTCCAATTTCTCTCTTCTCATAACATGAACAAACCATCTATTTTCTCTTATCTTATCTACAATTAATGCTACACCCATACTCCCTGTTATATATTCCTTATCCTATCTTATCTAGTCACTCCATTTATCCATCTAAGCATTCTCATCCCTGCTCAAAATTGTATTCTATATACTCTGTATTACTCCTACTTATTTCTAAACCATTTTCTTCAAGAGTTAATCTTCACACCTCTTACATTCGATTAATTTCCTTCATATTTTCTTCTATTAACACTATATTGTCAGCGAACAACATGCACCACGGCACCTCTTCTTGTATTTCTCTAGTAATTTCATCCATTACTCACTTCATTTATAGTGGAATAAGATAGGCAATAAAAGCCGTTGGCAGTTTCAAAGCTGCAGGCTGTGTCAAATTTTCCCTGCACTTCTGCAAGAAGTGTCAGAGCTAATCGTCCCTCATCTCTGCAGTAGGTATATTCCTGGACATCGAAGGGGCTTTTGACAATACTCCCATTGATGCTATGTGTGAATTTGCAAAACAGCATGGAATAGAACTACTTATTACTACATTTATTAATAGAAACCATGCTTAAGGAATGCTCCATTTTAAGACAGCTCAATGAAATCAATGTAATCAAGAGTGTTAAACAGGGATGCCCTCAAGGCGGGGTTGGGTTAGGTTTTTAATTAAGCATAACATTTATTTCTCGGAAACTTTTGAAAAGGAAAAAATGTTTGATTTAAAAAACTCTACAATAATATGTAGTTAAATAATTTTTTTTTACATTTGAATCTTGAAAACTAAAATTTAATTTTTTTTAAACACCTATTTTTAATTAGATATGATAAAAAAAATGCCTAACAATTCTTTCTGACTGTTTTTCCGCTTCAATGCAAAGGTGAAAAGGTATAAATTTTACTATTTCATTTTTTTTTGTCTGTCGCCATTTTATCAATGATACGTCTAAAGATCACAAATCATATATAGTCGAAGACATTACCCTTAAAAATTGAAAAAATTCCCACATTCCCTGTAAATGGAGCAAATCCCCCAAAAAATTACGATTTTTAAAATCGATAAATTTAAAAATTTTTATTTTAAGTTTTCAAAAATTAATATACCAAAATAATTTTTTTTAAATAGTAACCTTAAGTATTACTGCCCTTTTATTTGGTATACATTTTTTTGAAAATCTGACAATTTATCTATCCACAGGGGCGATTTTTACCTTCCTATGATCCTAGCCTATTATACAACTCATCATAACTTTAAACTTTGCCTTACTTACTGCACACTTGGCTTCTTTGCACAAAAGCTTATACTCGAATCTTCTCGCTTTTTACTATTTTGCTATATATTGAAAAACTTTTTCTTACTCTTTATCATTCTTGAACGTCCTTATCTCACCACCAGGTTTTCTGGCATTCTATTCCTACTCTCATCAACAATCTCCTTTGCAATATTCTTTATATAACTAGCAAATCTATTCCACACATCTTCTATGTCTCCCGCTACATTCCACACTGTCCTTTTTTTTCTCCTCTTTCAATTTCCACTACTAGATCCCTAATTCTCTTTCTATGTTCTTTCTGTTTTTGTATACTCTCTTCCTATTATATCATAATTCCATTATCATCAATCTATGTTATGAAGTTACACTCTCACCTGGGATAACTTTAAAATCTTTTACTCACCTTACGCTCCCTCTCTTCTATATAAAATAATTAATCTGTGATCTATTACTTCTACTTTTATAAGTTATATAATGTTCTTCCCTCTTTCTAAAATAAGTATTAACCAAAGCAATATCATACCTCACCGCACTCTTTTATGTACTCACACATCACCACATCCTCATTATAGGTATTCTTGCATCACCTCATCTATCTATCTCTAAAACACTTCCTTGTCTATTTCAACTTCTAATTTTATGTAAAAAAATATTTACCTTTTTATTATTATCAGATTTCATCATGGATAATTTAATTTCTTCCAAAATATAATATAAATTAGGTATTATATTATGATATCAATGTCAAATTAAGTTTATTACCATTAGAAGGTGTTAACTGAAATTTATCAGATTCCGCCTTAAATTCTTGTGCATTATGCTTAACATCATCTGATTCATCATGACTGTTCTTTTTGTTTTTATCAGAACTACATTTGATCTGTGATTTCCCCTTTATTTCTTCTTCAATTTGTTTTGGTTGTTTAATTAAGTCAACAGTAGTTTTATTCATTTGTTCAAACTTGGTTTGAAATGGTAGACCAATATTTTCTGAATTTTTTTGGGAAACACTTAGCTTTGATGGCGATGTAAAAATTGATAGTTCATAAGAAAAACTATTAGATGGATTACAATCAGATTTTGAGTTTAAAGTAGAACCACTTTTTTTTGTTTTACATGCCGGACAAGATATAATACTTGTCTCGTGATATAAATAGCATTCTTCACAAATCCATGAACCGGGTTTTAATTTAAATTGGTTTAAATTATTCAATTTAGGTAGCTCTTGAATACAATTTTGAGTATTTAATTTGTTATTAATTTCAGTAGATTTATCTGACTTTGTTTCATTATTATATGATATAAACATAGAATTTTTACTTTTTTCTTTTTTAACTTCATCAAATATTTTTTTGAATTTGTTTAATTGATTTATTGTTTTAAATTTAATGGCAAATAACTCTTTTTTGCTTTCACCATCAGAAAAGTCTTGACCTATCCATGACATTGCTTTGTCACAAGACTTAATAGGTTTAAGATTTAAATCTGCGGTCAATCTTTGATTGCAACATATTTTAAATATATTTTCTCTCCTCATTAATATTTGATAATAATCATGCTCCGAATTATACAAAATTTTTATTTGGCCAACACCTCTTTCTTTCCATTCTTTTGAAGAAGGATCAAATCGTAACAATTTTGCCCGATCATCAAAAAATACATCAAGTCTTTCTTCACCAGTGACAACATCAATTTTTTTTGGCAATGATATTACTGGTATGAATTTAACAGTTGGGAGTAAATCTTCTTTTTCTTTGTCAATTGTGAGAACATTATCATCAACCAAAGTAGATGATTTTAACAAAATATTTGAAGAATTTTTGCTGTTATCAAGAACTTGACTAATATCTCCCGAGGAATTACTGAAATCAGATGAATTACAATCAGAAGTTAGCAAATTTGTGTTACACGATCTGAAATCAGAAATTTCAATAATCTTATCAGAGTTAGGTGTGAAATTTAAATTAAATTTATAGGTTTTTTTTTTTTTATTTAAAGTATTTTCGTCAGTTATTTCTTCATTCAAAGAATCAATAGGAATGTTTGTCTTTTCAGTTACTATTACTTCACTTTCTTCATAAGAATGTTGAGATTTTTCTAACACAGACTCCTGTACAAGTGTCTTACCTAATGGACTACCTAAAAGTGCTAAGTGATGTATCTTAGTTGAATTAGGTTCACTAGATTTTTTATTTAAATTTTCTATTTCAAAACTTTTAACTTTGGGTAATGAAACACATGATTTTTTGGAAAAATCAATTTTTAAGTCATCAGACAATTCAGTTACTGGCAAATTAAATATTGATGCACCTGAATTATTCAATGATGGTTTAAAGAATTTAAAATTTGAAAAATGTCCATTCATCCATTTATCTATGTTTACTTTAATCTCAGGTTTATATATTATAGTAGAAGCAGGTGGAAAACTAAATGTATGTTCATCTGATACAAGTTCTATTGAATTGTTTTTTTCGCACAAATCAGAGCTTTTAATTGATGAAGTATTTAAGTCTAATAATTGTTTACTGTCATTAAAAGTCTTAATAAATTCTTTACAATCATCAACTGTTTTGAATCTAGCACATAAATATTCAAGCTGTGTTTGAACAGAATCTGAAAAATCATTGGCTATCCACAATACTGCTTTGTCATTTTTAACTTTCAATTTCATATCTTGATATAAATAATGGTTAGCACAAACTTTCAGAACTTGATCTCTTCTCATAACCAATCTAACTTTATTACTATTATTATTTCTCGAAATTTTTAATATTCCTATACCTTTTTCTTTCCATTTTTTATCAGTATATTTATATAATTTTGCTCTGCATTGAAATAAAATAGTATCATTTTCTTCACCAGTACATTCTTTTGTTTTGTCAGGTAATTGTATGGCTGGCTTAAATTCTGTAATTGGATTATTTTCTTTATATTTTATATTATATAAAAGTTCTGATTTATTTAAGGAAGGTTCCAATGAAAATTTAAACATATTTAAATTCTTCAGATTAGAATCTAAAGTTGATTCACTATCCAAATTTTCTTCAGATTTACTCGGCAAATATTGAAAACTAGATGACCTAATTGTACCACTATCAGAAGACATTATGATAGGATTTGAAAGTTTTTCATTTGATTGGTTCAACACCACATCATTTTTAATAAGTGTATTAACACAAGGTGATACAAGAGAATTTGCATTTAAAGTGTTTTGCTTTAATCCCTCTATAATTGAATGTATACACAAATCATCTATATGATGAACATGAATAGTTTTATTTAAAATGTTTATTTTATCAAATAAATTAACTTCAAATTCATTAAATTTTTCAATGAATTTTTCTATAATAGAATACTTAGAAAAATGTATAGATAAATCATTAATTTTATTAGAAATGGAATCTATAGACTTAGTTAATTGTTCAAATGATCTATCAACTTTATCAGAAATGGAATTTGTTTTCTCCATTAAATTGTTGTATTGTTGACAAACTGTTTGATTTTGAATATTCTGTGATTGTGTAAATGCTGTAAGTTCATTTAATACTTTTAAAATAGAATCTTCAACTAGAAATCTCTGACTCTAAATTATAAAATTTAATTGAGTAAATGTTCATTCATATGTTAATAATATTATTATTATTAAGTGATTAAAAATATTTACAATTTTTGAATTATCCATAAATTTTTGCGATGTGCTATTAGGAGTGCTGGTATTATTTTGATAAGAAAAATTGATGTGACATCTTTTATTTAATATATTTATATCATTTAAGAACTCTTCTCCAGAATCTAACATTGAATCTTTTTCTGTTTAACAAAATAAAATTCATAAATTATTCTTAAATATTAAAACAAAATAAAATCTAAAGACAACAACCTATGTCATATACGTCAGTTTCAAACTTCAATTCTAAAATTTCTTCTTTCACTTGGTAATTCAACGGATGATGAGGATTATCTTTTAGTCGTTCTTTAGTAAGATTTAAAAGCTCTTTAATTTTAGCCAATAGAGTAATAGTACTAAATTTGTAAGAATTAGAATTAGATACTCCAATATCTGATTTCAACTTTTTTTTATAAATCTAAATTTTTAAAATAAATATATAATGATATATTGAAACCTTAGTATAAAATTTCCTACCAAGGCTTGATGGAATGATGCATAAGGGGATTTTAATGTTTTAAATAGTTCAACAGCTTCTTCATTTTTATTATTTTTCATCATGTGACACGCTAAATAAAATTTGCCTTCTTCTAACATATCTGATACTTCTTTCAAAGTTAAAACTTTCCTGTTTAATAAAACATTAAAATTAGAAAAATACAATTGTTTTAGTAAAAAATATATTTGTTTAAAGTTTTCTGTTATTATGTACATTAAAAATACAGTGAAACAGAAATAATCAAAATTTTAAAATTCCCTGGAAAATCATCAAAACCTTGATATTTATATGATTCTCCTAACCATTTTAAATTGTCCTGATATTTTTTGTCTTCGAAACTTATGGCAAACCTGAATACTACTTATAAACATAAATAGAATAATGCAATAACTAATTACAATTTCTAAAAATGTTAATGGCACCCATTGAAATTTTGAAAAATGTCAAATTTTTGAAATGGAGAAATATTACATGAAGAACATCTAAAATTGTTTCACTATTTGTACCTTAAAACGCTGAGCACCAAATAGAAAAGTGTCTGCTCTACAATAAGTTATTAAGTGTCAGGGAGCCCATGGTATGCTCATAGTATATAAATATTTTCTAAAACAAAATAATTCTTAAATTAAGTTTTTCAAATTTTTGAACATCAAACTTTTTTTTAGAATACAAAAACAAACACAATAGACTAATAAAAAAAAAAAAAAACTTTTTTACATAAAAACTGAATTTTAAGTAGCTTATTATTTTGGGAATTGGTTTAGCAAAATAATTTTTCCCTGTGGAGAGGGGATAACAATACTTCCACGGCCACTCTGCCAGTCGTAAGAGGCAACTAATAAGGTTGTGTCAGGTCGATAGCAGACGGAAAATTTTTTGTCAAATAGTATGAGGTGTCTTGAACAAAACTTAGGCGAATTGTCCCATCTCAGATATATGCAGGGACAACAATTGAAAGAGAATAAAGTAATTAAAAACGGAGAAGGCCTAAGGAATAAAGTGTTTAATACCAGCCGGACAACTTATGCGGTAGCTGTTTCTCCAGTCATGAGTACAGGTCTACCCAACGCTTATAGTGTCAACGGTGTAGGGATATCACCACTTAACTCTAGGCTACACTCGTGTTTAAGGGAGATAGATAGATACAAAGTATGAAAAGGTAAGTGGAATATTGAAACATTAACTGGTAGAAGTAGAGAATTAGTAGAAGTATTGAAGAGGAGAAAAGTTAACATTTGTTGTATGCAAGAAACTAAGAGGAAAGGAGGGTAGCAAGATAATAAGAGGGTTATAAAATAATATACTCAGGCAAGTCTAGTACAAATAATGGTGTAGGGATAATAATGAATGAGAAGATTAAAAGTTAAGTAGTAGAGGTAGCTAAGAAAAGTGACAAAATTAGTCATAAAATTAATTTTCGAAGAAAAAGTGATAATGTAATAAGTGCCTATACACCACAAGTAGGATGAAAGAAACAAAAAATGTTTTGGAGAGAGATGGATGAGTGATGCAAGAAATACCTGGTAATGAGTGTGTGATGATAGGTAGACATATGAATAGACATGTTGGTAATGAGAGGGGAGAATATGAAAGAGTACATAGAGGGTATGGTTGAAGTGGGAAGAATGAGGCTGGAGAAGTAATCCTGGATTTCGCAGTATTGTATAATCTTGCTGTGGTTAATACTTATTTTAGAAAGAGGTAAGAACATTATATAACTTATAAGAGTGGGAGGAATAGATCACAGATCGATTATTTTATGTGGAAGAGAAAGAGCGTAAAGCGAGTAAAAGATTGTAAGAGAGTGTAACTACACAACATAGACTGATGGTAATGGAGTTGTGGTGTACTGGAAAGAGAATAAATAAAAATAGAAGAAACACAAGGGAAAAATTGAAGATCCGGTGGTGGAAATTGAAAGGGGAAAATGAAAAAGAGTTTATACATAAAAAGATTACTGCATTTAATCCTGAGAAAACTGTTTTAAATTTTGACAATTTAAAAGTTGTGGTAGGGTTGATTACTGTGATTTAAGTTTTTCTGTTATAAATATACTATACTGCCACATACTTATGTTTATGGCTATCTAGTTGAGACATCACTAGAAAACCATAATTATGGTATATGTATTAGTTATGTTAAACCTCAAATGTTAGATGAATCTTTATATATATATATATATTAGGGTGGTTCTTAAAATTAATGTAGTAAAATTTAAAAATTATACAATCTCAATTAGTTCCAATACTTATAAAAATGAGTTACACAATGTTTCAGGTAAATCAGAAAAGATTAACCCGTGCCACAAAAGGCCTAAAGTTTGAAAACTCAAAAATTTTGAATAACCGTACATTTTTCATTGTTTTTTTTTAGTTCAGTGCGTGATATAATGTATTCACAACAAAATTGTAAGAACAAAAGTTGTGTTATAATAATATTTTGCACAAATTATATTCTGAACAATCTTTTGATTTACTTATTATTTATATATAAAAAGTCAATATATATAATTTTGTTGTTAAAAACTCACAAAACAATGTGAATGTTAGTTGTAGTTTTACAACTCATGGTAATTTTCGTAAAATATCATAACAGCAATGTATAATCTTGAATAAACTTTTATCAAGCCATCAAGTCACAATTTATTACAAGAATGACTAAAAAGACGATAAAGTCTTTATCAAAACCCAATTACCATCAATAAGACAAGTACTATCGTTTTTTTTTTTTTAATATTCGTCATGTTAACCTGAGCATACTTGAAAGCTTAAACTGACAATAAAAGAGGTAAGTATTTTTTGGCAAAAAGCGTGTATACCTATCAGTGCTGAACAGTGTTGCATAAAAAAACTTCAAAAATATTATGATGAATGGAGATATTTACAAAAACTGCAATGCAGAAAATCTGACACTCAAGCAAAAAAATGAAGAATTTAGTTAAAAACTAAATGATTTGTTTGACATTCTTCAAGTTAATGCCCTTAATTTAATGTCATTACAAGAAGATAGAGGTTTTTTATTAATGCAAAAAGGACGTCCTGGTATTATGTTAGGAGTTGATATGAATATTGCACAAAAAGAAAAAAGAGCCAATGAAAGGTTAAAGATGTCCGAAAAAAGTCGTAAAAGAAGTTATAACGAGATACAGTCATTGAGTAAGTTTAATGTTGTTTTAGAATTATTATTTAATAATTAAGTATATATTTTAGATGCACAAGTTGATATATGCTCATCATCAGAGTCTGACGTTGCTGAAGATGATTTTAACAAGCCTGGACTGTCTAAAATGTACGTTAAACAACCAACTAGAGGAAGTATTGATTTTATTACGCCAAAATTTGCAGCTGCACTTGATAAATGCAAAATTAGTGATAGATATGCAGTTCATATATTAATTTCAACAGCAGAGGCATTACGTGAAGACATTGAAAAATTAATTATAAATAGATTTTCAATTCGAAACTCACGCATATGTTTTCGTAAAGAACGCGCTGAAAAAATCCGTAATAATTATTTGGTAACTATTAAAGATTCCGTTGTCATTCATTGGGATGGTTAACTTTTACCTTCATTAACAGGACAAAAAAGTTTGATCGATTTCCCATTATTGCTTTATGTGATGGTGAGAGTCAATTACTAGGAGTTCCAGCAATTGATACAGGAACAGGGGTTGATCAGGCTGATGCTATTTTTCATATACTTATTGATTGGTGTATTACAGAAAATGTACAGGCTTATTGCTGTGATACTATGGCTTCAAATATGGGTAGATTGAAAGGTACTTGCGTGTTATGAATATTATATAATATTCATGAAAGTCAATATATTTTCCTAATAAGATATTTTTAAATAAAATAAAATACAAAACCTAGAATTTTAATAGAAAAATAGCATATTTTTGAATACGGTAGCCATTTGCTCATAGAAGATAGGTCGTCTGGACAAATTTTTTTTTTCATTTTATAGTACATAAAATAAGCTTTAATTTGATATATGTTTAAAGGACGCAGTATTTCCAGAACATTTTCAAAAATTAAGTTGAAAAAGTTAGTTTTTGTAAAAAAAGTTGCTATTTTAAATCCCACCCAATGAGCAGGTACTTAACCTGCTAACACTTAGTTAGATTTTCAAAAAAATGATATTAAATGAAAGGGAAATATCTAAGGTTTTAGTATAAAAAAAAATGATGTTGATTTTTGAAAAAGTTATGGAAGTTTTAAGAAAAAAAAGTGAAAAAAACGAATTTACCGATTTTTAAATTCGTAATTTTTTTANCCGAATTTACCGATTTTTAAATTTGTAATTTTTTTAGATATTTCCCCCATTTGCGGGGAACGAGTAAAAATTTTTCAATTTTTAAGGGTAATGTCTTCAACTAGATACGATTTGTGATCTTTTGACGTATTTTTGAAAGAAATCGGTCCAGTGAGAGCTGAGAAAAAGTGGCAACAGACATAAAAAAAAAAANCAGTGAGAGCTGAGAAAAAGTGACAAAAGACAAAAAAAAAAACACATCATAGTAAAATTAATACCTTCTCAGCTTCGCATCGAAGCTAAAATTTTCTTATATTTTTTCATTTAAACAAATATTTTTCGAGTTACATTACATTTAATATGAGTACTAAAATTTATATTCCNTTATGGAAACTTAAATACTCCACCCAATGAGTTTGTAAATTATATTAGTGAATTAGTGGTTATTTTTAATAGAAGAATATCCACAATTATTGCTGTAAACAATAATGTAGGAAAAGAAGAAATGAGAAATTAAACAAGTAATATTACCTTTAAGAAACATCCATATTATTCAAACTTAGATAATGAGTTTTTAAAAAACATTTACACAGACTAACAATATTTTTATTTTTTTTTAATTTTTAAACAAAAACGTTTTATGAAGACCGAGTAAACTTGATATACTAACACGCTTATAAAATACATTCACATATTTGGGATAATTTGGAAAAAAATATTTTTTGCATTGGTCTCAGTTTTTATTATATTTTAGTTTATTGATTGTCCAATTATTGTGTATAATTTATGTGATGAATGTGTATATTGATTTAGAAGCTTCAATATTATGTTAATTGATTCTTTTTTACTTTTAGATTTGATGCAAAGCTCAGAAGATCAATCAATTTTATGATGTATTTTATAGAACAATTAAATCAAAATTAATGATAAATTTAACAAGTTTTTGTATGAAATATTTAAAAAATATATAAATCATTATTTATTGTTTTTATTTTATTAAATTGAATTATCATATTGTTATATTGTTTTAACATATTAAATACTTAAATATAAAAAAATAACACTTCATGGTGTTGTACGCATTCAAAAATATTTAAAAAAACATATATACCATAATTAAAATTGAAATTTTAAAAAAGTACACACCACTTTAGTGTTGAAAAGTAGTCACATTGATTTACCTACATAAAAATGGCCAAATGATTCTATATTGACCTCTCTAATATGAATATGTACATTTATTGATGTCCGTTCAGTTTATTCTGTGTATATAATAGTCCTAACACTAGTTAACTCATTGTCCTCTAAAACGCTATATTTTCAATTCAGCGCATGGTGTAATGGTACCATTACACATAATTATGACATATAAAACATATCAATATTGTAAAAATTAGTTATACCAAACTTTAAGGCCTTAGCAGTTTTTTCACTATAGCCAAAAACTTATCTTATGATTATTTCTATTTTAATTTTTTTTTTTCATTTAAACTAAAAAATATAAGACTAATTTTTATTCGAATATTTTATGTAGTTAAAATTTTTGTTTTTAAATATTATAAATAAAGAGCTCTAGTAAAAAAAACTTACAAACCTGTAAAATTCAAATAAAGCATTTTTTGGACGTTGCTCAATTCCATGATGAATTATTCTCTCTAGCAACTGAACAGCTACTTTCCAATAATGAACAGCTCTTATTTCTAGTGCTTTTTTAAAAATATGATTATTTTTTACTTTATTGCACTGCAAAAATATAAATATTAAACAATTATTTATAATAACATATAAACAAATGTAAGTGTTTTGCCTAATCAAAATTTTTCTTAAAGAAATATAACAAAAAATAATTTAAATTTCTATAAGATAAAAAAGTATAACAAGTAAATATTTTTATAATATACTAAATTTATATGTAATCATATATGGAGTGATTTCTTAACTATGCCTCATATAAATATCTGCAAAAATATTACAGCTAATCATGAATTTATTTTTATCATTAATGGTTCATTATTTACACTTTATAGCATCTATCAATAAACATTATTAATTTTTATAAATATGATAAACTGTGTACTCTATCATGGTATAAACCGGTAATACTGACTTATTATAAATGCAGCTCTTTTAAGAATAAGTACATTTTTTTCTGATCACCTTTCAACCTTAAACAACTGTAACTTATTGAAAAAAAAATAATAATAAAAATATTTTTTAAAATTTTTCTTAATTGAATAAATCTTCTGATAATATAAAAAAATGGGATTGTCATTCGAAAATCTAGTCATACAAGTTGAATGTATCACTAGGAATGATAGCAGAAATTTAATTTTTAAGAAGTTCAAGAATCATTGTTGTTAAAAAATAAAATAATGATTAAGTCTAATACTTTTAAAGATATTTTGTGAGGCTTAGTCAAAGAATTTCCCTGTATAATGTGTTCCATAAATTATGTAGATTTTAAAGTGGATGTTATTTTTTATATTAATGAAGTTTGGTTGGGTTTAATAAATTTTCTAGTTTATGTACACTCCAATTATTAACTATAGATTTTTGTCAATTGTTAATTTTTATTGTTGTGGATCAATTCACAATTCATTAATAAGCTTTAGTAATAAACAGTGTTGTGATCTGGAAAAAAAATTCATTGAAATTTTTAAAGATGGTTAAAAGTTTTAAAAGTATGGGTTGTAAGCTAAGTTTTTATATAAAACGTTAACAATCGTTTTTTTTTTAATAATCATGATAGTAACTAATAGAAAATTGTTAAATTTATATTATACTGTAATTTTAAAATAATACAAATTTGTGCATCAGTATTATTTTTCAACTTGCTCTCTTAATTATTAAAAAAATTACTACTTAGTACCTAATAATTCATGAAATACCCTTTTTTTCAATATGTTTGGTTACAAAGTTTAATATTTGTTTTTGTCAACTTACCCCATAATTAGAAAAATATTACAAAAATAGTAAGTTTTAGGAAAACCTATATTTCATCCCTTAGATTGAAATAGAAAATTTAAAAAAATAATTGTATTATTTATAATGAAGAAGTATTAATGCAAGTTTCAGATTTTTATTCCATTCACAGAAGTCAAGAAAAATCCTAATTCATAATACTAAAATAATAATGAAATATAATTTTTGACTAGTAATTGACCAATCTTTCATAGATTTTGTATTGGTATCAATTTATAAATCACCTGATTAACAAAATTTTTGGCTAAATGAACAATAAGTTGTGCATCAAGTCCATGATTATCAATCAATCGTACAGCACCTAAACCATATGATATAACATTTTTTAAAGAAGAATCTTTATTATTTTTTGAATATATTTCATGTACTGATTTCCACCTAAAATATAAAATGTTGAATTAAATTATAAATTATTTTATGTTTATTAAAATATTAATGAAAAAAATTCTTAAAAATAATGAAATTATTTAGTGTTTAGTAAGTAAGAAAACAGATTTCTATTGTTCTCATTGTTAATAACAATTTACTCGTTTCCTTACTTTCTAAACACTCTATAAATAGTAAAAGCAATAAGCTAAGAATAACTTACAATGCCATATGTAACCAGGTCAAAAAGGGGCAATAGCACAGACAGAAAAATTTAAAGGTCATATCTTTGAAGTAAATAATCATTTTGACAAAAAAAGGACTTCATAAACTAAAATTTGTTAAGATTTTTTTGAGGTATATTTTAAATACATTATCCTTGGGGCAATAAAACCTTAAATATACCCCTTTTTATTTAACTAAGATAATGTAAAGAGCTTAATATATAGGTTGTGAAATATTTGATAAAGGAGTAAAATATCTTTTTAAGAATTTAGACTATGAGACATAGTATTTCTTAGAAATCAATATTATTTCATTTTCATATAAAGACATAAAAATAACATAATTATTGATAGAAAAACTATTGGTTACCATTAATATTTGTTATATCACTTTAAAATATTATTATTGGAAATTATAGTTGCAAGAAATAGATTTTCTAACTTCCAGAATAAAAAACGGTAGCACAGTGGGGTTGCAGCATTATTGGGACAAATATAGAAGATATCTGACAGTGATTAAAATCACTATCATAAGAAGTGCTTTGATATAAATCTGTAAATAGTGTTTAATTTTACATAGTTGGTGGATTGTACCAAAAGCAAAGCGAATTCCTATTTCCTTTATTATATGTGATTAGTAGTTTTTTATTTAGAATTATAATATACAAATAAATATTTATTAGAACAATTAAATTAGTATGAGATGAATATTTAATAATTTACTATTTTTTCGGAGAATTTATAAAAAATTATAAAGTAGTTATTATTTTTATGGCCAAATGTGTATAAATAGAAGGGTTTAACACAAAACTTTTTAGATAATAATTTGATATTAATCATGAATAAAGGGTCTGCAAAAAATGTTCATAAAAATCAAAAATATACTTTTATTATTCAATTTTTTGTGCTAATTTCAAATCAGCAATGATATTTTTTCTATTACCGATAATTATTGATATTATTACTAATTAGTTAAAAATTATAGGATATAAGGAAAATATTTCAATTGTATCATCAATTTAAATACCAAAAATTACATAGAAATGATTAATATTTCTTTTTAAATGATTACGATAAAAAAAATTATTAAAAATAAAAAAAAAATTGTTTTTAAATTATTACAGATTTTTGTTTTTAATATGTAAAAAAAAAAATCATTTAGTAAAATATAAGTTGAATTTATTAACCATAACTTATAACTCAACATCAAGTTTGAAATATACATTATAAAATAGAAAATTTTATGAGAATTAAAAAAATAGTATTGTTAAAATTAATATGCAGTGAGGAAATTGAATTATTACTAATTACTGTAAATTTAGATTTCAATATTTGTTTTCATTTTTATTGTAATAGATAACTTAAATAGAAATAATAGTAATCATTTCCTAGTAACTTTTCTTATGTTTAAAAAGATTCTACAATTGAAACTTAATTAATTATAATGATTTACTTTAACTAGAAAAACTAATCAAAATGTTGTTCAAAAAATTTACTCAAAGAGCGTATTATAAAATTTGATTATAGTTGTAAAATTTTTTTGTTAAATTCTGATAAAACTTAAAATAATTTTTTTTAGATTTATTATCTATATAGCAATATGTTACCAAAAAATGTCGATTATAAACTGGTAGTAACACACACAAATAAAGTTAAAAAATTAATAAATTACAAATTAAAATTATTTAATTTTGTAGCTGAAACCTATTATCATATCAAACCTAATTCCACAATAAATACTTTAAAAACATTAGAAATGAATGATTTTAATTGTCTATATGGAAAATGTGGGCAAAGTAACTTTTTAATTAATAAAGTGAAAATTTTTTCAATTTTTCAGAGTAATATCTTTAACTAGATAATAGTTGCAATTATTTGATGTATCGTTAAAAAAAGTTGGTCAAAAGCAAATGCCCCACACTTATGTCGGCATTATCTAATTATTACAATTATAGTTATTTGGATGCGAAAAAATTATCTATTCTGAAATTGTACTGAGTTTACACAAATTTTTTTTAATATTTTTATATTATAATGAATAAAATACTCATGATGAATGACAGTTACTTTAATTTATGCTATATATCATTATAAACTGATCATTTTTTTCAATTATTAATTTATTTTAAACAATATTTTTACCAATTTTCTTGATTATGGGTAGTCAATAATTCAGTTATATCTGATGGTAGTGTTGGAAAATATTTTATACCTTTTTTCTGTTTATTACTATCAAGAATTGATGCTGCAGTGAAAACTTAAAAAAAAAAAAAAAAAAATGAATAAGTTAAATTTTTAAAATAAAACCAATATTTTAAAGACAGTATTAAGTAAAAAAACATCTTGAATTAATTCATAATTAAAATCTTAAGCTATTACAATTAATAAAAAGAATCTAATAATACCTGCAGCATACAAAAATGTATTTATATCAATTAGACTAATTGTTTGTACATCTAGGGATAAAATAGTTTTGGAAACCAAAGGTACTTCATTGAACCCATTGCAACAAAAACCAACAGGAAATACGGCATCTTTGGTTAAGATAAATTCAGAACCTTTGCTTTCACATTGTAATAATTGCAATCCATACCAAACTAAATGGTGTAGTGAACTTGGGCGACTCATTTCAAAAGATGAGACTGAAAAATAAAGTTTTTGCATACATAATATTTTAAAATGATTAACAATTAAATATGATTTAATAAATTTTTAATACTAACAATAATATTTATGTCTTATGAATTATAAAAAATATGAAAATTATTGGGTGAATCAATAGTCACTATGTTTAAAATAAAATAAAAATACAATAATCAAATACAATATTTTAAGTTAAACATTCAAAAAGAATGGTGTAGGTAATATTTTTTTTTCATAAATTGTACATAATTTTATTTTACTCAATACCATAAAAATATTGATTAACTATGCGTCTCGCAATATCTTTTAAAGTGTAAAAAATATAAGTTTTTTTTTCAAAAGTTAATAGTATCCTTTTAGCTTCGATGCGAAGCTGAGAAGGTATTAGTTTTACTATGATGTGTTTTTTTTTTTTTTTTTTGTCTGTTACCACTTTTTCTCAGCTCTCACCGAACGGATTTCTTTCTACGATACGTTAAAAGATCACAAATCGTATCTAGTCGAAGACATTACCCCTAAAAATTGAAAAAAATTCCCCCGTTTCCCGTAAATGGGGGAAACCTCCAAAAAAATTACAAATTTAAAAATCGCTAATTTTTGAAATTTTTTCTATTTTTTTTACTAAAATGTGCCGTAACTTTTTCAAAAATGAACATATCAATATAATTTTTTTTTATATAGATGCTTGATGTCTTTACCTATCATTTGATATATTTTTTTTGTAAATTTGACCCTTTATCTGACCACAGGGGGGGATTTAAAAAGACAACTTTTTCACAAAAAGTTAACTTTTGAAAATGTTCCGGAAGGTCTGACACTTTTATATATATTTTAAATTAATGCTAATGTAATATACTTTAATTTAAAAAAAAAAATTTGACCTCTGGACTTGTCTTCATGGTGAAAATGGCTATCGAATGCTATTTTTGTATGAAAATTCTCGATTTTATAATTTACATTTTTTACTTTAAAGTGCTATAACTTTTTAAAAAATGTATGGATCAATACAATTTTTTCATGAAAAGTAGTATTCATATACATCTTTCATTGGACATACTTTTTTTTTAAATCAGACCATTTCCCTAAATATGGGGGAGCTTAAAATATAAAAAATGCATATATAAAGTAGAACTTTTTCAACTTAACTTTTGAAAGTGTTCCGGAAGGTCTGACACTTTTGTATATATCTTAAATTAAAGCTTATGTAATATACTTTAATTTGAAAAAAAAAATTTGACCTCTGGACTTGTCTTCACGGCGAAATTCACTACCAAATGCTATTTTCGTGTGAAAATTCTAGACTTTATTTTTTACATTTTTAACTTTATAATGCTATAACTTATTGAAAAGTGTATGGATCCACACAATTTTTTTCTGAGAAATAATATTTTTCAATAAACCCTTTTTCATTCGACATACTTTATCTTAATCGAGATATTAATAAGGAACCAGCAGATCAAGTAGCTTTTGGAATAAAACACCAATTTTTTTAAAATTAAACACTATCTAAAGATTTGCATCGAAGCGTTTTTTTTTATAGCGATTTTAATCACTGTCAGATATCATTATACTTGATCCAACTATACCACGACACCACTGTGCCGCGACCCCCCTGTGCTGGGTTATTTTTTTTTTATAATTTAAAAAAAATATTTGTCTTATCCCTCCCTATTTCTTCTTAAGTAGTATCAATTTCTTTTTACGCACCTATCATTAAGTTTCCCCATAGTCTTAAGAGAAAGTGAGGCATAGTTAAAATCAATCATTTGTATTGCATAAAGTACTTTTAAATGGTTTAAAAATGGCATAAATTTGACAATTTTAATAAAATGCATTTAGATTCCTAAATGTATGGAATTTTTTTAATATACAACTATATCTTTAAAAGGTTTACAAATGTTTACATATTTGCAAAAACTTTCTTCATGTAAGATTTATGAGTTACTACAATACTTAACTTACTGTGTTTTGGAAGGGCATATTGAATAAATTCAGGAATAACGTATATTAATTTTTCAGGTGAATATTTGATAAAAAATGATCTTGTTGTGTTTATTGGTTGTTCAACGCCAATAAATATTTTCTAAAATTAAAAAATTAAAACTTATTATTTAAATCAAGTAATAATTTAAAATTTATTATAAAAATGTAACTATCAGTGTATTTAATTTATTGTATCCTGCATACAACAAAATTGTTTGTATAACTTAAATTATTATTTATTGGGTTTTATTTTTTAATTCAAAGTTGTACTTAATTGATTATATAATTGATATATATATTTAAGTTAAAAATAACATAATTTAAAAGTAATTCATAATAATTATAATACTGTTTTGATCATTAAATATTTTTTGTTTATTTTTTATAGGTAGCAAGAAAGTATAGTTACACATATTTTACACAAAGTCTATTTTAGTAAAAATAATTTTCAAATAAAAAATTATAAATATAATATATTATAGTTTTTACTTAAAGCGCCTCCTACACGATCAATAATATTGAACAATAATTGATATTGTGCAATATTATTGAAAGTTTAGTATAGATATTGAAGGATTGTACAATATATTGAAGAAATCAAACAGGGTTGGAAATGTATTGCACAATACACAATATTATTGTATGTTAGCATGTGATATTGTACAAAATTACGCAATAGTGGTTATGTGTTATCGGTTAGATACATTTTTAAAACAGTGGTAATTTATAATATCACATAGATTGATGGTAAATGCCACTACGCCTTTGTTAACACGCATTAAATATAGGCCTATGATGATAGGTTACATAGGTAATGAATATTTTTCAATTGAATATTGGACAATAATATTGAGGGGTTTAGGGCAAATAAATATTGCACAAAATATTGACACAATTTAATTGATTCAGTATTATTGATCGTGTAGGGGTCGCTTTAGGTTATGATGTCAGTTGTACAGAAAAAAATTGTTTATATTTATTTATTAATATATTTTTTGGAACATTTTTACTAAGATAGAATATTTCTGTTATCAAAAAAGGTATAGGTGAAAAACAATGTAAATGTTTTTATAAATTTTACGATAATTCTAAAATTGTTAAAATTAATGTTAATTATTTAAAAAATTTTATAAAAACTATTTTGTTAGTAATATTTTGTACTACAACATTCATTATGTACTATTTTTTCCTGATCATATTTAAAAAGCAATACATAAAAAACATCACTTCTACCCCTTTGTGGCACATGAAGGATTTGACCTAATACTCTTTAAATTTATCTAAAATTTCAATCTACTATGCAGAACAAAAAGGTAAGTATCTGGCATCAAAAGTTGAAAAAAGAATTACCTAAATGCATAGTCACTTATATGTCCATATACCTTTAAAGAAATAAAAGAATTGCTATTATCTCTCCTATTTTGTACATTTAACACAAAATTATTTATTTATTGTCATTGCTTTTCTTTACAATATAGAAACTATACTAAAAAAAGGTTATAGGCATTGTCAATTTAATAGAATGTAACCTTTAGTTTTTTTTTTAATGAAACATCACTATTAATTATATATAAGTAAAAATTATTTAAATAATTACTTTGTATGTATTTAATTTCCAATCCTTAGAATACATATTTTTGATACTTTCTATAAAATTTTCAGTTTCAATAGATACCATTGATCGTAAAATAAACCCACTTTCAATTATTCTTTTTATACCTTCAAACTCCAAAAGAGCAACAAATGACTTTCGTTCTTTACAAGCATCATTGACAAATTCATTATCAAATGCATTTTTGTCAACTGTTGGTGCCAATGACATAATAAAAAAAAAGGATGCCAATTTATTTGTGTTGTGCCAAGATAAATTTTGTTCCTAAAAAAAAAAAAATTATTAATATATAATAGCCAGATAAAATGTACTAATTGATTAATAAACTCACAAGTTTAGCACTTTTCATTATAAGACAACCTAAGTAAAAATACAATTGATTTGACATATGGTTTATTAAATTTCGATAAAATTCAGTTTGAGCAGATGGCAATTTTTTGGCTTGGTACAAAGCTTGATCTAGTCTAAAAAAAGTATTTATTCAAACTACATAATCAATTAAGTACTAATTTCATACCTATAAATATATTTGTAACACTCAATATCATCATTTAACTTAGTTTCAGCATTAATGTTTCCATGTAATATTTTCAATGAAATAAGATGTTCATAAATAGGCAACACTTTTGTGTAAAATTCCCAATTTACTTGGTAAGAACTTCCATAAGACTTAGTTTATAAAATTACAAGGTCAATAAAATTTTCATTAATATTATAACTATGTTAATTTTTACCTCACATATTTGAGATGCTGTTAAATACCATTCGATGTTATCTATTTGATATCTCATAGTCTTTTCTACATTAACAATATCATTAAAAGCCTCTGATAAACGATTTAAATTTACAAGCAATTTTAACAATTTTATTTTTAGATATGTATCATTTGGCTTTTCCAAAATTTCAGCTAAAAAATAAAGTGAAAGGTTATCATACAATATATATATATCATAACATTAAAATTACCATTAAGATGTTCAATAACAGTTAAATCACTGTTGTTGTTTAAGATCACTAATCTATCTCTCAGTTTATGTACTACAGGATGATATGGATATAAATCTTCAGCTTGTTTACAAATTTTATTAGATATATTTTTATTGAATTTAAAACAAGGATCAACTAAAATTTCACAACCTATAAAAAAATACAAAAACAATATGTGTAAACCTTCATTAATTGAATATTATATGTAATTTTCTATCTAAATTTAAAAATTAAATTAAAAAAAAAAAACAAAATTTCAGAATAAATTATACTAGATGTATTGTTTAATTGAACAGGTAATATAAATAGGCCAGTTAACGAAGGAGTAATTTTGTCATATAGCGGGAATAATTCCCAACCAAATTTTTTTTTTTTTTAAAAGTTGTATTAACATATGTATAATGACATACTAAAAGTCCTTGTTGATTGGAATTGAGCTTTTTTTTTACAGTCTTGCAAAGTTAAAAAATATGAGCTTAAAAAATAGGACAGCTGATGTGAGCGTAGATGTGGGAGATCGTGTCAAGTGGAAGTTTAGGATAAGAGTGGCCAACCCCAAATACTTGGGATTAAGGCAAAGAAAATTCCGGTGGCAATTGACATAATATGATTGTTGTTTGGGAATGTACAATTTAGTTTTTAGTTCGGTTTAAACAATATAGAATCAAATCAATTACCTACTCTATCGCTTGTATATTAATATACACTACACTTCTACGATACAATAAATAAATAAACTCACACATACACACATATGCAGTTATATCATTGTGTCTAATGTAAGTATAATATGATAAAAAGTAACCGTAAAATGAAAAAAATGGAATATAAATTTTAGTACTCATATTAAATGTAATGCAACTCGAAAAATATTTGTTTAAATGAAAAAATATAAGATAATTTTTTTGTTTATAATTGTCTTTTAANACATAATTTTTTTGTTTTTAATTGTCTTTTAAACAACTTTTGTACGTAACTTTTTTTTGTAAGTTAAATATTTTTTGAGAAAATTTAAAAAGCTCATATTTTTTAACTTTGCAAGGTTGTAAAAAAAAGCTCAATTCCAATCAACGAGGACTTTTAGTATGTCATTATACATATCTTAATTCAACTTTAAAAAAAAAAAAAATTTGGTTGGGAATTTTTTCCGCAATTTTTCCTTTGTTGACTGGCCTAATAGTGTTCAGTATATAAGGAAACGGGTTTCTATTGTTCTCATTGTTTATAACAATTAACCTGTTTCCTTACTTACTGAACACCTGTATAAGACATAAATATACTTATATTGGATTCAATTGTATTAAATATAATAGAAAATTAATTTTACCTTTTGATAAATAAATCAATCTATTTATAATTAAGATGTATTAATAATATAATACATATTGCTTATAGGAATTTAGTTAAATAATAAATATTTTCATTATACAAATATAAAAAATCTACTCACAAGTCAACAATAGTTCAGGTTGATTAGGATTAATATTTAATGATTTTTGAAATTCATTAATAGCTTTTTCTTTATTTCCAAGTTGAATATAGCAGTGACCAAGTAGACGACGGCCTTCGAGAGAATTTTTATTTACAGTCAAATAAGTAGTTAAATACTGTTCAGCTAGTTTAAATTCAGATATTTTGAAGTACATACGAGCAAAATATAATCCTTTTTTCTTTTTCTATAAAAAATTCAAAATTTATCAATATATTAAAATTAATAACTATAAGTTTAATCAAAGATTTAAAAAAATTAATTTTCTTATTACACATTGCTACTAGTTTTATAATAAATATAGATACAATATGACTATTCTATTGATATATTTAATTTATTATGCTTAAAAAGGTTAGCAATTCTTATTAAACCACAAAAACTGATTTAACTCAACCTATTAAACATGGTGAACTGAACAAAAAAAATTTTGTGTTAGAATACTTTAGATTAGACTATTCGAGTACAATAAGGAGGGTTGTACATAATATTTTTAATTATTAATAATATGCTTAATTAACAATATAATTTTTTTTTTTTTTATTGCTTTTATTAGTCCATTAAGGGTCATAGCAATCTCCCCCCAGAAAGAGGTTTTCTTAACCATTTATACTCCAGGAAGTGTGGTTAGTCCGTCGCCAAAGAGAGGAATGGTGACTCCAATTACAGAACTGATTTCTCGTTCAGCAAATGAAGCCCCCCGTGACAGAGTTTTGAATCTGAGGCAGTTACCGACTCAGCCATACTGTCCCACTTTTAACAATAGAAAATGTTAAAATTAATTTTAACTTAAATTTAATAAAATTATCACCAGTATTATTTTGAAAAAGTTCCTTAATTTAATTTATATTTAATATTCCATTTCTGTAAGCCACTTTAAAATTTAAAACTAAAACCTTATAAAAAAAATTAATGATTGTTATATAAATAATTTTACAAGTTTAATAAGGTAGATTAATTATATAATAAAAATATACTTTTAATTAATTTCAAACCTCGTGATCATCGGAGATACCCTTCAACTGTTCTTGAACATAGCGATCAATATCATTTTTCGAATGAAATACTCCAGTGTTATTGCCACTCAACATGATTGTTTTTTTATTTATCACTTAATCATAAATAATATACACGTGAAGGAAAATAATTAGGTTTCTAATGAATATAATGGCCACTAAACTTAGTAAATAATTTATCAAAATATACGGTCCGAAGAAAAAAATTGTCACATATAGACAATTAACAACATCAACTAGCCGTAACTCAAACGTATTACATAGAAACTTAAACATAAAATTCAGAAAGTGACTGTTAAAATGTAAAGTTAAATCTTTAATTATCCTCACATTTTAAAAGTAAAAAAATATGCTTCTGATCGGTCGAATAACAAAAAGTAAACGGTTAATGGTCATAATAATAAATTAACAGTAAGATATACATCAAATGTTTTTTGGTATGTCGCGTGATACAGTGTTTCCAACATATTTATATTAATTTTTTATTAATATTTTTATCTGAATAGATCTACTACTAGGCGGAATTTACCAAAATTTTATGGTGGCTAAAATTACCAAAGCAAACCCATTACTCATCACAATTCTATTTATAATAATATAAGAATCATAGTGAAAATTTATGAAATCATTTGGTGAAACCAATATTTTATCTATAATTTTCTTTATGATTTTAATAGTTCTTTCATAGAAAAATCGATTGAAAATTATTTATCTATTATCGTCATAATTATTTAAGTTTGAGATCAAAAACAATAGATTGAGTTGGGTTTATAAACTATAGAATTCTAATAATTATATAGATATTCTGTGTGTTATTATCTAACTTATACTTTTATTACAGTTTTTAGAATTTCATACCATGGTAACATTATGTTAGACTAAATAAAAGGTATATTTGATGACACAAAATTAGTCGATCTTTGAAATAACAATGACTGCCTCCTAGCTTTACCTAAAAAACCTATTTTAGGTATACAACCTAAAAATAAACATTCTATGAACATTTTATACGAGATAAGTAGTCTTAGTAAAATATTGAAACTGTGGTATTAATTTTAGCTTCGATGCGAAGCGGAGAAGGTATTAATTTTACTATGATGTGTTTTTTTTTTTTTTTTTTTTTTTTTTTTTTTTT